GGCCGGCCAGCGGCCTCGGCGGGGCCTTTCGGGGGCCTGGGGGGGGCGGTCTGCTGAGCTGGCCGACCTCGCTGAGGTGCGGAGGGAGTCCGGCGGCCGTACGGAAAGCGGCGCCCGCAGCGGGTCCCCGGCTCCCCGGGACGCAGGGGGAGGCTGCCGCCCTGGCTTGGCGGGCGGAAGAATGTTTGTTCCCAAGGTGACAGCTGGGCGCGCTGAGTCGTCGTGTGCCGTCCTTGCTGCTGCGAGCGCATGCTGCCGTTCTGCCCCAAACCCGAGGGGAGCCGAAACCCCTCCGGGGCTCGGTGACTGGCCTGTCTCCGGGGGATGGTTTCATTGCTTTGCCTGTGCGGCTTGGTACCGACCCTGCAAACCTGTGGTACGCTCTCGGTACGGACAGGTTAGCGACACATGGGTGCTGTTGTGCTCCAGATTCGGTTCTCACACTTCTGAGTTACCGAAGGGCAACAACTGCTGTGTAGTGTGCTTTCTTCTTAGCATCAGAATAGTTTCTTGGTTTTAAAAACAGCTGAGCTGGCCCTCGTTAAGCAATTTTCCACCTTTGCCTTGTAGCTTGAGAAATACGCTTCTTGTTTGTTTTTTTTTTCCTCTTGAAAAGCTGGCATCTCTAGGTGCTTTGTGAGACCCATTGCTTTGTCTTTAAATTCAGTGCTTCAGAACCAGATGATGTTGAAATGCAGCAAAACTGAATGCAGGGGAGAGCAAAATGGCAATAAGGGTTGAATAATTTCCTGGCTTTGGATGTTTCCTGGCACTGATTGGAAATTTGTAATAATAGTTACTTTTAGGATGTTTGAGTCTGAGCACGAAGTTGCCAGGTCTGTTGTAGCACTGCATTTGTAGTTAATTTGGTTGAGTTTTATTGCAATGAGAATACAGCATGATTGGGATATCGGTGATTTCACTTCTAAAGGGAAAAGACTAGGGGGAGCATTAAGTAGCTTTTTTATTGCAGAATGTGTGATTATCTTAGAATGAAACCTACAAAGGGTCAAAAGCCTCATTTCTGATAAAAAAAAATAAACCCAATGCACACACATGATAGTTATGCAATAATTTGATGTGAATTCCTAGTGGGAGCAGATTGTTCCTATCTTGATACAGCAGGTGGACATGAACTTCAAATAGGAGATGTGGTTCCTGTGTGCCTTAGGTGAAGAGATAGTGTGTTGCTTTACCTCCTTCCATATTTCTATCATGTAGGTGGTCAAGATTGGTCTTCACCACTTAAAAAAATCTCTGTGGTTAAGTCCTAGTGTCACACTTGAATTTAGGGTTTTTTTAGGTACAGGTAATGTTATGTCTGTACGCAACTTTTCCTTTTTCTTTTCTAGTACAAAGTTTAACTTGGAAGGAAAAACTTAACGGTTCTGATGCAATCAAGGATTCCCATCCTGTGAACAACCTTTTAGCGGAGAATCTGACGTGCTTTCCCACACTGGGATTCAGCACTGGCAAGTCTTAATGTCAGTGAAGTGGGTTGGTAGCTGGTAGGAATACGTACTGCAGCCTTACAGCAAGCATCACATCTAAGTGCTGTCTTAGCCACTTGTCGGGGTTTTTTTATTTGAGCTTAGTTCATAGCCCTCTTCTGCAATTGAGTTTGCAGTGGGCTTGTGGCTCCATGTGAGTTCCCAGTCACGGACCAATTTTTTCCTCTTTGTGCTCAAATTCCAAGCTTAGAATGCTTAATAGTATGGCATTTTGTGCAAAGGTGGATTAAACTCTCTTCACAAGTATTTATTAAATTTACTTTTAATCTGTTTGATCTTAACTTGCCTCTGCTTGAGCCGGAGGCAAATAAAGCTTTTGCAGTATTTTTCATGAGTAACAATATGTGATCTTATAGGGTAAGTTAGCGTTCAATTTAATGGTCCCAGTTCATGTAATTTATGATGTAATACTTCCTGAGGCTTTCATCAAGCTTTGGATTATGCATTGCTTTTTTCCCATCCTTCATTAAAAAGGGGGCACTGGAAATAATGTGTAAATATTGCTATTTAAATGCATGTTGGCTTCATAACTGTGGATGTGTTGGTGAAGCTGACTGTAACTGCCCTGCTGCACAATACAAAATTAAAGAATAAAAGTGATGCTTTTTGCTGTGAACACAAAAATTTTTGCAGTAAGCAGGTTTTTTCTTCTTCCACTCCTCCCCCTTCCCTGAAAAAAAAAAAAAAGGATTGAAAAGAATAAAACTAGCAGGAGTTGCTGGCTCTGACACAACTTTGTATTGAGAAATTTTGTATGGCTGTTTTCTACTGAGATTTTGCTGCTTGTTGGAAGTTACAGATAATTATTTTAATTTCATACCAGATTTCTAATTTAGAGCAGTTTTTTTAACTAGGCTGAGAATTAGAATAATTTCTGCCAGTAGAGAGGAGGAATTAAATAAGCTTTCCATGTCACATTTGCATGTTTGCTTTTTTGTTTTAAAGTTACAGTCTCTGCCACTGACTCTGACTTGCAGTGGTGCAGGGACAAGAAGATTTGTCTTTTTTTTTTTTTTTTTTTTTTTTTCTTCTCTTCCCTTTTTAGGAAAGAGGTCTGGGAGGATTCCTCTCTCTCTTAGCCCTTTACAGTGTAACTTCAAGTTTTGGAATAGTGAGACATTCTACCCCTGAACAAAAGCTTAATGCCTGAGAAGGGAAGGTGCTGAGAATACTAATCTTTAATGGTCTTCTGGTACAAATAGATGAGACGATCTACCGAATTCACACAATGAGTTTTGAGTCAGGGCCCTAAGGAGCTTCCTTTCAGCTGTCTTGGTTTCCAGTCAGACATTAGGTCAGAGAGAAGACAGAACTTTTTGTCTTTGAACTAAAATGTAGTATTTTCTCCTTTCCTTTTTTGTTTCTGTATTTGCTATAAAGACCTCTCTACCCAACAGGACAATTTCATGCCTCTGCAGACCTGCCTTCTCCACGCTTGGCTCAAGGTCACCCTGAAAGTTATCAGTAATCTGCATCAGAATTTTGTGAAGTTGAGCTGAAGCAGACTGCCAGTGCGAACTTCTCCAAAAGTCTGCCAGGAAATCATTGGGAATCTTGGCAATTTTTTCTTAGGGAAGGCTGAAAAAGACTTAATATAGTTTATGTTGCTTTTCTCTGGGAAATCCAATCTTAGTTAATCTACTCCATTGCCTTTTGTTTCAATCTAATTTTCTGGAAATGTTCCCAATCAAGTCCTAGGGGACCTGAGACCAGTGATTTTTTTCACTGACTTTTTTTTCAGCTGAAAGCTGGAATCTAATGCAGAGAATAATGGGACTAGTTATTGTAAACAAATTAAACTCCTATTTTGCTGCACTACAAATTAACTTTCTAAAGCCTTTAATTTGTCGGTCCTGGCATTAGATTTTTCTGGTTTAGAAGCCAATCTAGAAGTGGGAAGCTGTGATGAAATACCTCCTTTTTATCCTTCCTTCTCTGTTTCTACAATCTTTAATGTTAACTTCCCAACGTAGGTTCACAATGTCTTTTCTTCCCTCTGTCTCACCAGTTCATATCTGCAAGGGTCCTGTTGATTTCCGTTTGCACTTGAACAACTGTGATTGCTAGCTATAACAATTGCTTGTGTGGAAAATATTTTAAAATTTTCTTTTTGCTCTTTCACTCTGCACGTACTTAATATTAGAAGATCCCACAGTCATCGTTGTACCACATATGTGAATGTCATTTATAATCTGTTTAAAAAGTTGTACATTGTCGTGGTTTAACCCCAGCCAGCAGCTGAGCCCCATGCAGCTGCTTGCTTACTTCCCCCTGCCCCTGAGTGTGATGGGCTAGAGAATCGGAGGAAAAAAAGTAAAACTCATGGGTTGAGATAAGAACAGTTTAACAGAGCAGAAAGGAAGAAACTAGTAATGATAATAATAACAATAATGAAGTGACATAATAATAAAAGGATTGGAATACACAAAACAAGTGATGCACAATGCAATTGCTCACAACCCGCTGACCGATGCCCAGTTAGTTCCTGAGCAGTGATCCCCCCAGCTGCACTCCCCCCAGTTTATATACTGGGCATAACATCACATGGTATGGAGCATCCCTTGGGTCAGTTTGGGTCACCTGTCCTGGCTGTGTCCCCCCAACTTCTTGTGCCCCTCCAGCCTTCTTGCTGGCTGGGCATGAGAAGCTGAGAAATCCTTGACTTGGTATAAACACGACTTAGCAACAGCTGAAAACATCAGTGTGTTATCAACATTCTTCTTATACTGAATCCAAAACATAACACTATACCAGCTACTAGAAAGAAAATTAACTCTGTCTCAGCCAAAACCAGGACATACATGCATATAATCTGTTCACTCTAATGCTTATCTAAATTAATATAGGAGATCATGGTAGCTCTACGTCATGGGCCAAAATGTTGTAAGTGATTGAGCATCTTCTATTCTCACCGGGTGCTTGGCACATCCTGGTATCAAGCCTGAGAAGCTGGGAGAAAACTAGGAGAAGAATACAGCTGTTCTGCCATGAAACTAACAGTGAGTGCACCAAGTTCTCTCTTGAGACTTCGTGAGAGCTACTTCACTTTAACAAAGCCTTCTTTTCCCACATGTGCTCATTAGTTATCAAGGATTCAAATCTCCTTCCTCTGATGAAGGTACATGAGCTTGGAATATGAGCTTTGTGGTATGTTTATCTGATCTTTTGACTAACCTGGATAAGAGAAATCCTGACAGTCTTGGCTTTTTTTCTTTTTTAAACAATTCATCTCTTCTTGGGGGAAGGACTGTGTCTTGTAAATACACTTTCAGGCTTTTTTTTACCTTACAGATAATTTGATTGGACTTGGATCTGTAGGATTAAAAAGTACTTTCAGGGCACCTCTAAGATGCAGTGCACTTCCTGAGCTTACAAACTGATGCTTGTTAGCCAACCAGCTAGCCTGCTCCTTTGTGAGCTTGGAAGAGCAGCTATTGGAAAGGTATATGGTGTCAGCCTCCTGACAGAGATGCTCGTCCCTGTGATCCAACCTGCTCCTTGTCTGATTTCTTTCAAATGGTGAAGGTACTCTGTATGGGAAAATAGAGCAGGTCTGTGCTGTACTGGTACGAGCTGAGTGCTTGGCCTCAGTGTGCTGTGCAGCTCAGCAGCTCCCTGCAACTTCTGGCAGACTTCCTCCATATTGTGTTTGGATGGAGGCTGCACTGAGAGCCAGGGATCTGATCAGTCAGTTGCCACCTTGGTTAACTTTTCCTGATCTGAAAGGAGCTGTACTAAAGAGACTTGACAATGTATTGTCACAGCTTGACTGCATTTTCAAGCTTGCATCCTTTACTTCGGAAAGAAAAACGCTAACGAATGTGGAGCAGACTCAAAGCCAGTGCTCCCAGCAGGCAGACGATCCCAGTTCATTCTCCTTCAGCCCTTGGGAAGTGACCACAGTGGCTGTTGTCAGTGTAGCACTCCATGGGAGGGCCGTGAGATACCATGCGTGTTTCTGATATGGTAAGTCAACCCTTGTACATCAAAGTGATAAGGGAATTAGAAGCGCAAGCACCTGAGGAACACAACCAGCCTTGGAATACCGTGGAAGTAAAATGCAACCCACAGTGTTGGTCTGGTTTTCTCAGTTGCCTTTTTTATAGTTCCCTTGTTTGTCTGAGCTCCTGGTGTAATGGATTTGACAAGAGAGTGAGTCATGATTTCTGGGTTGTCTGCCAGGATAGTTTTATACAAATCAAGTTACTATTGGCTTTGGTGGCCTTCATAACTTGGAATAAAACATTATCTCACAAGGATGTACTGAACCTTAATGTTTAAAGTGGTATCAGGTGTGACTGAAGTAGGCCGGAGGAGTATGTTACAGGTAGTGTCAAAGTGAAGCCTAAACAATTTAAAGGAAAGATAGTTGGCAGTTTTACAGCTGCCCTTGTGTTCCTGCTACAGGTTTGGTTGTACTTGTAAAGCCATTTTTGTGCTACTCTGTTCGTGCAAGGCATAAACAGAGTAGTGTCTATAGGATATCCTGCTATACGGATAGTAAAGCCTAATACGCTTTATTTTTTTTTTTTTTTTTTTTTTTGCTTCTTTGGTTAGACATAGTAGTTTAAAAAACTTTTTGCCAGCAGCATGACTTTCCTTAATATGCTGAATTCCTTAAGTAAAACCCTCCAGTACATCATGATAGTAGGATCGTGTGCACTGCTTGCCAGTTGATCCCTTTTTGTGTAACTCTTGCTTTTGATCTTGCTTGAAATCACTGCCCCTAGAATAAGGACACTTGTGTTGCAGAGCACAGTACAGCTATACTTCTTGCACTTTTCCTCCTTTGTCACATTTTTTTCTTCCATAGCAATTGCTGATGCCAGCTTTCCCATCAAAGTGGTCAGGGAGCCAGCTTCCCTGACAGGATTTGTCTTGTACACATAGCATAAATTGTGCAGAAATTCTTAACGATATCTGCCTTGTTATTTTTTATCGCTTCCCCCAAGCTCCTAAAAACTGGCCTATAGCTTTGAGAACATCGCATTTCTTCATTATGGGGTAGATACTAAAAGGAACTAAGCTTGCTTTGTTACAATGTCCAAAAGCAAGCAGAACACTAATTTCTCTGACAGAGAAATTAATGTTTGAAACATGTTTTGTGTAGTGTGTTTGAAAATAATCTCTGCAACACATTTAATCTGGTCAGGGAGTTCTAAAATCTCTTTGCATTTTTGCAGAGATCTCATGAGGAAAACTCAGGAGTTACTTTTGCTGTTACGTGGATCTTTGTGAGCATCCCAGTCCTTGGTCTGATCCTAACATGATTGGCTTATGCCTTCAGTGGGCTGCATAGTCCGAGCAGTAAATGTTTATCTTGGGTCATATGAAGTCTTTGGCTATAACAATAGGGATTGTTAATATTTTGTGAGGGATGGTTTCACCCAGAGTAGAATATAGCAGAAATCTCTGCTGCTTCAGCCCTTACCCCTGTTTTGCACAGCTTGGAGAAGCTGAATATAAATATTTCCCACTGACCATATTGCAAGTAATGGGTCTGGTTTGAAATAGGCTGCAGGTCAGGCAATAAATAGGCTTAAAGTGGAGTAAAAGTGATCATAGCTAAATCCGAGCAGTAGTTAATGATTAGCCTTTGATATAGATAATGATACATGTTCTGCTTGTCAGCATTATCTGAAAGTTTAGAAACTTTGATCTGTCTCAGACTTGTTGCCTGTTTGCAGAAGACTGCTTTCCTGGAGTCAATAGATGGAAAACCTGTCTCTGGAATAGTAAGTACTCAGCTTTTTTTTTAGCTGTGAATCATTTCTGCTTTGGATTAGCAGCTCTGTGGCAGTCCAGGGGTTTGAAAGCTACATGAAAAAGGCAGTGTTCGAAGCTTTTTCCCAGAGTGGTTTATAGTCATTCATAACTAAAATAAAAAATCTGTTGATCACTATTTGTTCCAGCTTTCCATGCCCTAGAGGTATTCCTGTCAGAAAAGTGTCATAAGGCCAAGGCTTTTCCAAAGACAAGTTCCTTCCCAGAGAATGGCTTGATTTGATTGCCCTTTCCCTCTTCTTGATATCTCAGGAGATCATCTACTTTGCTGAGTTGACAAAGACTGAAGGTGGGATTGTATTTTTGCATTTCCAAAAGTGAAAATGTAGAGGTGCTCTGTTCTATGGACTAGGACTATGAATTTGTTCTGTGAACTCGTAGAAGTGTTTGTGTTACTACCTGAAAGCTATTTATATGTCACATGTTCCATCCTCTTGCTGTTATCCAAGATCAGGGAGCAAGAGTAGGAAAGTGCCTCTGATGATGTGTATTTTGGTCTTAACCATCTGTTGAAACAGAGATCGGCTTCCTGGGCTTAATTAAAAACACAGTGGAATGGATTTTGCTGATGATGACCTGTGTTCTACCTTGCATTTTGCTCAGAAACAGCTTTCGGCTTCTCAAAACAACAGGTGTTTTGAACAATTGAAGCACAAAAGAATTTGTTTCTTGGCTGTGGTAGAACAAGCTTTTGTTTTCAGGGAGAGTCATAGATGGTGATGCAAAATGAAATGAATACGCATTCATTTCCCTTCTGCAAGCAGGAAAAGCATAAGTATTTTTCTAAAATTCAGTCTTGCAAACCATTGGGTCTTTAGTGAAAAGCCTACATTTAAAAGGTGACCCTGACATGCCAGAGTAGGAATTGGAAGTCCCAGCATATATCCGTAGGAGCTGACATCAACTACGCATGGCTATTGCAGCAATGCCTGGCACAGGCTGGAACGTGACAGCTCCAGGGAAGGTGAATGGTTGAGTGACCACCTTAAAATGCTGCATCTGCACATGGACAGCATCTAAGGAGTAATTGTAGACCAACTACTACTTAAATACGAAAAGAAAGGAGTGACATGTGCTCCTGGGATTGTTATTCAAGGAAGTTTTCACATGTGGTAGATGCTAATGCACAATGAAGGTGTTTCTCTGTGATGAGTGTGTGGTAGTGCTGGACAGGGAAAAATGTATATTAATTGGTTAAACCAATAGGTCTTGTATCATATGTGTGGAATGGATTCCTAAAACTTAATTAACAAGGAGTTCTGGAGGGTGGTTTTCTTCTTGTCCAGATCCTCAAAACACACCTGAAATCTAGTTCAGAACTTGTACAAATGTTGGCTTTTCTGGGCTAAGTCTGGTTATGATGTTGAAAAACAGCCAGAAGGGGAAAAAGGAACTTATTTTCCGCATGTACAAGTTTGTGTAAATGCCTAGGTTGTTATCAGCTGATCCATTAACTTAAAACTATCTTTGTTATCACTGCACTGCAGTGCCTCAGGCACTGCCCGAGTTCACTAGAGGGAAGATTTCTCTGCCAAAGGATTCACAGGATGTTGAAGTAGAAGAGCTTTTTAGTTCAAGTACAGGATCTGTAACTGGGTCTAGAAATGATGGCCTTGCTCTCCAGAGCACAGAGCAGCTCCTTACCATATCTGCAAAAACTGATAAATCCTTGATATGTACAAGTTATCAAACTACATGTGCAGTTGTCATGCTGAGGGGGTAATAAGGGTGCTGACTGGGCCACCTGCTCCAGCTGAGCCTGCTTGAGCAGAGGAGGTGGACTAGATGATGTCAGGAGGTCTCCTAAACCACAGCAGTTCTGTGACTGAAAATCTTAACTGAAAGTCCTCCTGCAGTGACATGTGGAACAAGGGCAAGTAGGGTAAGATCTGGGAATCTTCTGTTGAGTCTTCTGAATCATCTGTGTTCATGGACTTTAGGCTCCCTTTTACGAGGCCTGTAATAAACCGATGCCATCCATTTTATTACCCTTTTAGCATTAGTTTTATCTACATGAGACAAAGGTATTTATGATGTTTCTAGATAGCATTTGTAATCTTGCATCTGTATTAAAGGCCAGGTAATGCACTTTTAGGACACATTGAGTCACATTGCATTTTTGCAGCTGAGGAAACTTTTGCTTGCTTACTTGGGCATGCACTTGCTGACTCCTGGTTTCATTTTGTGTCTCCTGAGATTATTTTACAGTCTTGCTGGGCCTGAGGCTAGAAGGCACCGTTTTAAATAAATCTGGTCAGAGCTGTTTATACTGTTTAGCCTGGTATGTGTCCTTCCCACTTCAGCAAACCATGTAGCAGTGGTTTATCAGGTATT